ACCAGAATACATTTACCTGACTAAGTCTGAACCTAATACTTAAAGAACTCTTATGTTTACTTCATTTACATATATCTAAAATATAATCTGAGATATGCAGTTTATTCTTTGTCTTATTGATTTATATATTTTTGCTGTGATTCAGTGCTGTGTGCCGTTTGGTATTCGGTATTCCTGCAAAAAAGGATACACATAAGAAGGGAGCACGAGGAAAAAACAATTGTTAAGGATAAAAGTCAGTCGACCTGGCTTAAATTGTCAGAGACCTTTGTGTGTGGTTTTGTGGCCGAGGGGAAAGGGGAGAGGTGAAAATCTGTTGGTCTCGTTTTGCTTGCGAAATGCAACAATAAATACGTTTTTAACAATACACTCCCGCCCCAAACAAAGGCAAATAAAATTGGAAAGGTATTTAGGTGACTTAAAAATTTAAAAACATTCAATGGAATACTCAAAAATGTCAGAGTAAACATACTTCACAAATTATTTTTGATTGGAAATTCGAGTCTTTGCAAATAAACATTTAAACCAAAGATAAACAATTCGCACAAATATTATCAATAAACCAAACATAGAAAACTTATTTTCCGACGATTAAAGGAAAGTTAGTTCCCTTTAAAGAAAGGGAAACCAGAGGAAAACTATTAATGAGCCACAAACCATCTTCAAGTACAGGGAATTTTTCCAATTAAAGATGTCATCGAACTGACAGCAAATTCGAAAACTAAATTACAGATTTGCTGCGAGTAAAGTTAATCGCAGTAGATTTCATCGGTCCAACTGCTTTGCCTACCATGAGTGAAGGACTCATTAAGGCAATCACCTAAAAGCAATTCCCTCAAAGGCAAACCAATAATTACAGTGGCAGGAGCCCACTCAGCAGCAATTAAAAAGTCAGGTGTAGCAGCCAAGTGAAATAAGGAAAGGAAAATGCCGAAAAGTCAGGCAAGAATTGAACAAACTATAAAACTATAAAAGCCAAGCCCATTGGAAGAGCCTAACGAATTTGCACCTCGGTTCAAGGGGCAATGCTACTTTTGATTTCTTCTCTACCAGCAGTAAGCCCTTTGCAGCTACTTTGTTTACACCAAGTTATAGACCCACTTAGCCGGCACGGAGAAAGGGAAATCACGAAAATCACGACTGCAGGTAGGTCCGTGCCATATGTATGTATGTACACGTACGTATGTTTTTGCTGCCATATCCGTATATATGCACTTGTAAAAATCAATTAAACTTTTCAAGTGAAGTTATAATGGCTGGCAACCCTTTCAACCACTCGCACTCATTTTTCTGCTTGATTTTTTGCGGACTTTCGACTTTCCCCTACGTATATTGTTTTTGTTGCCCCCGGCTGTTCAGTCAGTTTCTTATTGTTTTCATAGCCTTGCAACGCCTTGTTGTTGCAGTTGTCAAAAGTTTTAAAATAATTGGATTTTTTTCGGTCTGCATGTGCGAGTGAGCGAGTGGGAGCACTGTGAGCACAGAACACGAACATCGGAATGTCGAAGACTGCAGCCAAAAAAAGGAGAGGGTGGAAAATGGAGGTACTGCCGCCCCCAAACTCATTCTATATAAATTAAAATTTCTTTGTTGCAAAACCCCTTCGCGCTCACACACACACACACACAAGCTCACACACACACGCACACACAGACATGCGGACACAGGAGGGTACTTAATGCAGGATTGCTGCAGTCATCCAGCCAACGCCATCATCACGAGTATTACCCAATTTCCAGCTGAAGTTTTCAACACCAAATTGTAAACGTCAACAACAACCGAGGGGAAAAAAAGCAGAGTGGGCGTGGCCGATCAGCCGCCTCTATATAGCCAGCCATGGCATGACGAACGAATGGTAAAACGCTGTTTGAACAGACAGAAGAGGCCCATTGAAGTGCTTTTCACCTGGCTTCAACTGGGGCCCATGGGGCTAATGGGAGTGGAAGGTCGTCTCGGCGAGAAATGCAAATGAAGCCCCCTCATTTACCAATATCAGTCCATCTATCTATCTCTTGTTTTCATTCATTAGAACCAACCACACGTTAATATAATAAACAAGTTGCACAGTAATTTCAACTTGGTCAGCACCTAATTAACCCCAAGCCCTGCTGGAGACCTGTGAATGATGTATCAAGCGATATAATTTCAATTAGGCTAATGCAAGCCATAAAATGGCCTATAGTTGTTAACAATCAGATCCTACAATTTCCGATTGTTTCTGCCAACGAAAATAGCCCTTACCACTTGTGAAGTCTACTTTAGGTACTCGTTATACATGGCGTATGCGTATTATTTTTGTTTCAAACCTCATTTCAAGTTGGGATGGAAAATGGAATGAAAGAACAAAATTGTACTTCGCCCCTTCGTCGGCGATTTTTCTCTTTTCTGCTTTTGCTTCTAATAAAAACACTTGACACCAAAACGAGGAAAGTTCCTTGAGGCAAGTAGTGAAAGACATTTTAGGTTGAGTTGTGTTGTACGAGTTTCTTCAACGAAAATATTAAATACTTGTCTAAACATTTAGAAAGGCTCTTTTAGAATATTTACGTTCATAAGTTTCAGTTAGTATTTACTGCAAAGTAATATTTTATACAAGAGATTTGAGCAGAATAGGGAGATGCAGAAAATGTCAATTGAAAAATGCGATATTTTAAGAACTGTGCTCAACTTTACTACACATTTTAGCTTTAAAGCAACCTATATCTGATTTAGCTTTGCAAGAGCAGGCCAAGCTTAACTTTTCTTGAGCTCATGCCAAGGACTTCCCATTACTCGCTGAGGACATAACTATGTCAATCTGCAGACCCACTCACCCCACTCTCCCCACACAGACACACACACACACATAAACTGCAGTCCTTTTTTCTCCTTTGCTGAAAATCACTTCGCAGCTGGTCCTAAAACGATTTTAGGCCGCTACAATCACAAACACACACTCGGCACACCCGAATCGGAAGCCAGCGAAAACATCAGGCACAACAATCCTTCCAGGACGCAGCGTTATTTTCGCACCAAACTGCAGGAAACCCCTCCAGGACCTCAATCGAAAAAGAACTGTGAAAAATTGCCAATGGTTTCGCTTTAAGGCCGAAAGGAGCGGGCCGAAAAAAGAGCTACTCGCTCGTAAAACTGCAAATGAAAATAGATAAAAAGTATCTGTCGTCCCAACCAGTAAACTTCATTCTGTAAATCAATTGAATTTTCAATTGTGTGCGAGCAAACTAAACCAAACCACGACGAAACGAGGGAGCACAAAAAGAAAAAGTAGGTAAACATAAAAGGACAAGTAAAGGAAACGACACTATTACTAAAGAAAGGATGGAAGGATTTTCTCCTCCCTGGACAATCGATTCAATTTCCATCTCGAACGCGGCACAGGAGGACTGGCGTTTCTTATTAGCAGAGCACAAACGATAAGGATAATGTTATATATGGACGTTATTCATAAGGACGTTCCAGGTCGAACACACACACACACACACAAAGCTTCTGATAATTTCCAGTGTTTTCTTTAGATTTTACCGATTTATCCGACAGGTTTTATCGGCTGCTTCAGTTGTTCTTCGGTAATTATGTCTCGCGGAAGTTCTGCGCCCGCAACGTGGGTGGTGTAATTATAGAAATAATTTTTTAACCGGCTTGCGGCAAAACACGCTCACAAAAACAAGTGCACATACGAGTACGGCGGCAACAACAAGATAATGGCGAAGGGGCTGAAGGGGGTTGAACCGAGGCAAGCCGAGGACTTCGACGATTTGGTTTTTGGTTAACTTGGCTAAAATCACTTTGCCGGGCTTTCCAAACGCTGTGGCTCTTTGCTATTCCATTATCACCGAGTACGACCTGTGTTATATCACTTGAAATTGGATTCAAACGATTCGTTGGATTTTATGCGAATTTTGTGTAATATACAATTTGTTGTCGCGCTGCTTGTTGCCCGATTATCGCACACACACGGCTGAGAAGGACGCGCTCTGTTTCTTACACGCTCGTTACATCCTGCCAAATCCCGAAATTGTACTAAATACGTACAAAACTTTTACGATTGGCTAAGGCTCCTAGCAGCGGTGCTCGTGTTTTTCCTCGCGTTCAGTGTGTGCGTTTGTGAGTCGCCACTCGACCCGAAGAGTCCTTCTGCGAGCCCGAGGATGCGCCGACCGAGTGCTGTGTGGTGGGTTTTCCCGGAGAGCGGAAAAGCCGAGAAAATCGCCGGCCGAAGTTGCGAGCGACGAAGTTGCAAAGAGAAACCCTCACTCAAAAGTGAGATATACTCAAAACTTAGCCACATAGGCCAAGAATTCAGAGAAATGTTAAGAGCGCTGCAATCGGAGTGATTTTACCTATCATTTCAAAATAGCTCAAATGTGCACTAAAAGCACTTACAAAAAAATAATATTTAAAACATTAGTTTCCACAACTATGGACTTTCTTTAAATATTTTTAAATTGATTTGGTCATTTATTTAAAAATATTATTTTACTATTTGCTGTAGGCGTTGCAAAAAATGCCTTCGAATGGCAACCGCAATTTGGACACAGGTTTACGCAAAATGAAACGAAATGAACTCATTTACTTAACATTGAGACAGTTACTGAGTGCTTTTCTGGCAAAATGGAAAGGATTCTCTTAGAATGAAGTGCTCACTTTTAGCTGAGCACTTTTATTTTTAGCTCAACCATAAAGCACTCGAATTGCAAGATCTAAGAGTACAGGCTTATTGAGAACTGTTAACTTTAAACGCTTTTGAAGCGCTCAAAGGCCACAAAACAGAGACTCCACTTCGAGTCTCGAGTCCTTTGAGGCTTAGAGCATGAGACCAAAGAGAAGCGCAAATGCGATTAAGGCAACTCAGTCCTTCGCAGCAAGGACTCGCTCGAAGAGAGCCTGGTGAGATGGGCAATTGAGCTTTCGACGTGGCTGAATCGGAAAGGTTCGGGTTTTGAGAACCGAGCCTAGCGACGAAGGTGAAAAGCGAATCGCGTCCACGAAAGCCCGCCATTGACTTTGACCGTCGTTCGCCAGTCGTCAGTTTCAACTGGAGCGGCGGGCAGAAAGCTGAAAGCGGCTGAAAGGACATACTGGAAGGACATTTCGGAGGAAGGCGAACCAGAGCAGTTCCGAGCAGGAAAAGGCGAGAAACGGCCTGTGCTAATTTTCCTGGCTAGCAGATTTTTGGCGCGCACCAGCTTTAATCCTGCAGTCTAAGTGAATGTGAAATGTAACAGGCCAAGTGACAGTTAGCAAAAGTCAGAAGACAAAAGGAAGGGAGAAAGCTGAAAGGGAGACAGCAGCCAAACAGATGGAAACAACTCGCAGATGCTGATGTTCCTGCCCCAGGAGACATTTAACATAATAAAAACGAACGTGTGCGGCATTGTGTGTTGCCTTATGGCCAAGTTAACTCCTGTTCCTGCATCTTTGTGTGTGTGTATGTGTGTGTGTTCGTTCCATGCTAATATCACAGACAGTTGCCCCCGCTCAGCCCACACAAACTTACAAACAAACAATATTGCAAATGTGTGCGTGAGGCAGTTGGCAAAAGTGTCGTAAATCGTTTAGACAGCGCGACGTGGCCCAGAAAAAGGAGATGAGGGCCAAAAAACGATATGTAAACGACACAGCAGTCGCCGTGGGAAAAACTGGGAAATGCCAACCAAAAAAGCCAAGAAAACAGAGGATCCGACGATGAACTGCATTTGTTGCTCATGTGAGTATTCCGCCACAAAGAAATTATCTCTTTTTTGTTACTCCTTCGACTCCCCTACCCATGTATTACTTTTATGCGGCCTTTACGTAAAACAATTGGGGAGGTGCTGGAGTGGTTGGCGTGTCATAATAAAATTTTATGTGCGATTTCTCCTTCTGTGAGTGCGTTTGCCAATAAGGCCACCGAAGTAAAGGGGCTACGAAATACTCAATAAAAATCAGAAAATAAGTGCAATCAGGGTGTGATCAGCATAAAAATCAAGATAATTAAATTGAGAAAAGTCCGTATAAGTAAGGAACATATTAATGTGTTTCTCATAATCTCACAAAGTAGTATTAATATTAAATGACTAAGAGTATGCAGTTAAAGTGAAAATATGTTGCTGCATACTTTTAGACATCTTTATAATTGTGATTTGTGTGTGACCGTCGACAAATGAGTACAAACAAAAATTTTCATTAGAAACAAAACACAATTTCCATTTACAAGTGAAAACACTTTTGAAGCAAGGCAAACAAAATGCTTAAACTGCAAAAAGATTTTAATTATTTCGGACAAAACCACTGCTTGTTTTTACTATTGGCAAACAATTAACATGCAACCATTTATTTGGATCAAGGGCCGTCAGTTGGAGAGGTACATTTAAATATATTCGCATGGCAAAAAAAAACAGCAAAAACTAAAATCAAATTCCAAATGAAAAGTTTGATATCAAATATATTTGCATAAGTGTACAGACATGGTCGAACCAGAAAAAATTAAAATTGGTTGCGTATCCTATTTCATACCTAAAAAGTTTAAATTGAAAATGCAAAAAATTTGTCCGTTATCAAAAGCAAACAAAATGGTAAAAACAAACAGATATAAGTTCAACATAAACACAAGTGCCGAGCAGAAATAGTTTATAATTAGCACTATATACACTTCCAAACTATTTTTTTAACGAAAGTTATATTCTACTTTTCTTTCCAGATGTGATATGATATGATATGCGGACAAAATTCGTGACAAAGTAACTTTTTGCAATAATGACTGATTAGTCCATTTGTTGACTTCCATTTGTTGACTGGTTTACAAAAAGTAAGTACACGCTGACTCAATTTTAAAACTACTATTTATACATTAAAAATTAGTTAAAAAGCAGTTCCTACTATATATCAATTTTATCACAATAAAATTTGTTGTGAATTACGCATTCAATACATTTCAAATATAGCTTTAAAAAAACGATCCAGACCCTTTCGAGGTTTTGAGATCCGAGAATACTTCTGTTTGGCTGTAATTCAGTTGAAAAAAAATACAACTAATCACTTATTAATGTTGCATCAAAGAATTTTGTATTTAAGCTCAAATAATTGTACATTTTGAACGAGATTTTGCACAAATAGTAAGTCCCAATTACACTATTCGAATACATTAAACTAAATATCGTTACAATTTTTGTTTAAATTGTGGGTTTGAACAACTTAAGCCTTTTAACAGGACCAATGTTTTTTTTTTGTTAACTTACTATGCCTAGATGAAAAATAGTTTTCAACAAGTTCTTCCATAATGCGAACTTTACACATTTTTCCACACGAAAACCCCCGACTTGCTAATCCCTTCTGACACGCAATTCTTTGAGTCTCCACTCCACCAAACCTAATCTTCAACAATCAGTCACAAAGTGTCACAAAGTGTGTGAACCAAATCGTTGGCTGATAAATCGTAAAATGACAAAGCAAACCAAATAGAGCGTTGTGAACGCAACAAGCAAATGCACTCAAAACGGGATTCCATAAAATTTCCAAACAAAGGGACGTGACCATTGACGAAAAATGCGTCAGAAAGGCGAATTTGTGTACTTTTTGTTTACGATCAAAGAGTAAAGTAGCGCGAAGTATTAATAAAAAAAAGACAAGAGTTCCGAGGATAAAGGACCATGCAGCACGCACGTAGTTCCCTGCTACTTGCTGTTGCATACTTTTACGCGTCTCTTTAGTATTAATTTGTAGGGGTAACCCGCATCCAGGTGAAAGGATCGTGGGCCTCATTATGCATGCTTGTCCGCACGTAGCCCTGCATTCCCCCGACATCCTCCAGCTTAAAAGAACAGATGCCCCAACACACACACACACGCACACACACACACACACTGACACGACAGGAGAAGAGTTTTCGGTTTTGGTTCTGGTTCTGGCTGTGTTCCCGTTTCTGCTAACTTTTACCAATTTCATTTTCAATTGACTGGCGACCAGAACACGCAGACGGGCTCGGCTAACCACCAGCAATTGAGCGTAGAAGCGCCAGAAAGGTCCTGGGCCCTCACAAAAAGTTTCTGCGAGGCAGGACACCAGAACCCAGAGTCGCCCACCAACACACACACAAGAAAGAGACACGCACAAAGAGATATCAGCAGAGATACAAGCGTCTTTTTTCTTTCCTTCTTTGTGTGTGGCCCAAGAATCCTTTTCTTTCATTTCAATTCCGATGCCGGCAAAGTTGCCTTCTGTATTATACTACTTATTTTATTTCAAGCGGAAGGAACGTGTGCGCCTTGTGCAAACCATCCCAATTCCAATCCCAATCCCAATCGCCTCTACTGTGCTGCCTTATCCCTTAGAAAGTTTTCTGCGAAATTGCGCCACGCACAATTCATTTGCAAATAGGAACAGTTTAATTTGCTGCCTTTGTGTGTGTGTGAGAGCTGTATGACAAGGATATCCCTGACCGGTTTACAAAGTTTTTGAAAGGACCCGCATACGAGGGGCACACCCACGCACAAAGGGCTTCTTTATGGGGAATATTGCATTAAACGAGCCGGCCCACAATCAAATCAGTTCGATTGGGGCCTTCCCCTACATCCCCCCACCACCCCTGCTGACCAAGCGCAGTAATTAAGCCAGGATACATGGTCCTTTTCTCAGAGCAGATCTAAATCACTCCGCCCCGCATTCCCTGGACACTTTGAGTGAAAGGCAAATATCTTGGGCAACTGTTTACTGCATTCATTCCATAGTTGTCAGAAGTCTAGACACTTGAAAAGCTTTCTCCAGCTTGCCTTGGCACGTATGCGAATTGATAATCGAAAAAAGGAGGAATGGCAAAAATAAACTCCTTGGGAATTGCTCAGGGTGTGCTAAGTTGTTGACCGGATTTGACAAGTCCTGACAAATGAGCAAGAGATGAAATCGTGATAGCCAAGGGAAACACTTTTGCAAGACATATAAAAAATGCTAATGTTTCTTCAATAGTTTAGGAATGGTTACTACTTTTGCTCGTTAAACCTAACCACCAAGAATTTTTTTCTAACTAACCGCCAAAAAGAAGGGGAATGAACTAATAGAACACTCTGTTTACAAACTACATAAAATAGTATTTCTTTTAAAAGAAAGAAAGTTTTTCTTTATAACAGGAAACTAAACACCTACAAATCATATCTTCGTCTTAAAAGAATATCATAGATGTTTTTCATCAACACCATGTTTATTGGCTAGCACAGGGATTCAAATTGATTGAGTGTTTCTGTTTATTATAATCACAAGTGAAAACCATTTTGAAAACAACGAAGATGGGTTCATTTTAGCATTTGAACGTTGACTTAGCATCTTCGTTGATAGAGCATCATTTTTATTCATTACTCTAACTATGAATCCGCTGTAATCACTTGATTTTTTGTTTATTTATTTAATTACACCAATTTTATTTTGTATAATTATGCAATTCTGTGTCAAAGAAGCAAACGGCTGCGTTTCTTTTATTTTATATTTACTTTAGAAGTAACATATTATTTATATTATTAGTGCACCGCATGTCTCAGTTATATATATGATATTCATAAATTTTATATCAGAGTTCTTCAAATATAAGTATCAGAATAAAAAAGTTTTTGGTATGTTTTACTCACGTGTTGAAACATAGTTATTGTTTTATTGTTGTCCTCTTAGCTCTACAGAAATGTTCGTTTTGTTTGCATCACCTGTAAATAAAAGAGTTAGGAAAAATATTAAAAAAATTGTATATAAAAATTGGTTCTAATTTAAAATGGTTTTTAGTCCCCCTTTATTGCAGATCCCTCCAGAATGATGATGACAATGGCCTATAAATACTGCGATGAATATAAATATAGCCATAAATAAAGCAATTTTGTAAAAGAAAAAAATAAAATATACACTCAATAAAATATATACTGCTGAATTGTATTTGTTAATAAGCGGTGGGTGGATTTGAGCTGAGGTGTACACCGTTCAGAGGTCACAAAATGATTGTTATTATACGCCCTTATGATTATGATTATTACGGTTATCACAGCCAATGTCAAGCCGATGAAAAAGGAAAATAAAAAATCCAAGAACAATAGTCAAGGAGCTCAGCAGGACAAAATCAAAAAGGCAGCAGAACGTGCTCGGCATAAGTAGCCCACCTACATTCAAGTTGGTCTCCAAAATTTATGTATTGTTTGTTTATTTGCTTATGCAGTGCTACTCTCCTGCTCAAGGGGACATCCACATGAGGCAGTGGTTTCCTCCTTCTTCCAGGCAGTTTCTCATGCAAATTTATACACCTTTGCAGGCGGCCATAATAAATATTCCCGAAAAATATATCTGGTTTCAGCGCCTTTTGTCTACTTTACGCTCCTTCTGCTACCCTTGCTCCTTTTGCTCCTTTCCTACTTTGCTCTACGTTGTTGTCGCCTTGTCACGTGTCGGCATCATTACCACACGTACCAGAATTATTTATACAAAAAATATATATCGTTTATAAGCCCAGCAATTGCAAACACCAAAGCCGTGGGTGGCACAAACGAATCTCAAATGCTCTTTAGAACTCCATAAGAGGGCACAAAAATAGATAGAGATACATTGAGAGTCATTTGAAGAAATCCCCGGCGAAAAGCAAAGGGGAGACGCATTTAAATCACCAGTAAATGTTTGCCAGGAGTGGAGCTAATTGTTCAATATTTGTGGCCAAAGGCAGCTGGCACTTTGAGACCTTTGGGAAATGTGTGGGTGAATTTACGACACATATTCCCGCCTAAAACTGGCCAACAAAACATGCCAAGCATGTCGAGCCCAATCGCCCTGAAAACTGTATCTGTATCCTTCGTTGCCCATCCGAGCCCCACAAACCCCCGTCCTCCTGTCCGGTTCCCCATAAGCGTCACAGTTAATTTGTTGACAGCTTTGTTGGAAAAGCGGGTGGGGAGCCCAGAAGGAAACGGAAACATTGGGCGGTATAATACGGCTGCAGGACACATCGGTGGACAACCAGACAAATGTCGTCCTCCTCGGGGACTACAAGACATGGAGCCATGTAAAGTGTGCAAATGACCAAAGAGAAAAGCTTGAGAAATATCAGGGCTCCAAATTGTAATTAGTGGGGTGTGCGGAAGGCGCTCGATGTTCGACGTTCCATATAGATTTGTGGGGGCAGATGGACAGGGAGATGGCCTCGATAAGAAATGCAAAAGAGGCGATTGCAAAATGGAGAATAAGTGCTTTTAAATTTAAGCAACAATTTTCCTTACAGCTGCAAAATAGCAAACAGTAATCTCTATTATATGCTCGGTTTTATTTAATAAAGTTGATGAAGTGTTCTAAACTCAAAATTAGGGTACAACTGAACTCATGTGTGTTATAATAACGTTGATGAATACAAACCCAAGTTAGGTTCATTTTCTAAACTCAAAATTAGGGCACACCTGAATCAAAATGACATTATTTACCCAAATTAAGAAATAAAAGGACATGTCCGAAAAGGACCCAAAAAGCAAAGCCACAGCCTCTGTAGAGAATGAAAAGCACAATATAGTTTTCAACCACATTATTAGTTGATTTGATTATCCATTTCCAGGAACGAAAGCCCCAGTAAATGAAGAGTATAGATGACCATTATTTATATAAACTTTATTTGGCAAATACATTTTGTACAATTTGAGGCTACGGTTTTCGATTGGTGTCTGGTTTAAGAAGCTCTACTTGCTGAGATGTCAAATATCAACGTCGCCATCGTCAACTAATTGGGTTTGGACTCCATCCACGAAAACAGAAAATATTGGCGTATCTTTTTGGGAGAATGGGAAAAAGCACGAGGAAGTGAAATGCCAGGAGGTGAAGATACAAAAAAGCGACGTAAAAAAAAAAGATTAAATTTCCTCGTTACGATTTTCATCTGAGCTGAAAATAAGAAACCGAAAATTGCGAGAAAAATGAAAATAAATATTGAATTATTGATATACAATATCCCAAACGAGTATTGAGTGCCAGCACACGAAGTGACAAAGTTCCTTTTTTTGGGTGGTTGCTTGTAAATTTAAATGACAAAAACATACCTACGTAAATGGGTTCTTATTTAGAATTCAGATGACAAACTCAAAGGTCTTGATGTATTAAAATTGGGAGTCTTTTGACTTTAAGTGCTTCGTGCTCAGTTGACTTCTTATTTGCCAAAAAGGAATTCGCCAAGTTTTTTAACGATGTCTTGTTATAAAGTAAATGAAAAATAGTCCCTCCTTGGTAGAGTATATCTTTAAAACAGTTCTTAGTCTATTGAAATTCCTGGGGAATTCGTTGTCTGGAGAATACAGTACAATTTACTTTTTTAACTCGGCTTATTGCCAGCGCAAATATTTGTATATTTATTTATTTTTTTGGGTAGAGCACAGGTAGTCCACCGTTTCCAGTCCTCCGAAATGGCTCAGTATGAGCCCTGGCTTATTTATTTTTATGATGAGTGCACCTTTCTACGTTCCCGCTTTTCCTGGTGGGCCCGCAACAATATTTTGCATGTTTGGATACAAAATATCATATTTGCAGAGATTGTTTCATTAAAAAAGCAGGTGCTGCTGCTGCTGCTGTGCACATATTTCATATGCCCATCCTCCGTCGCTGAAGACTGCCTATCCCTGTAGTACGTGTTTAGCTTTAGCACCTCCTCGTTCCCAAAACGCCTACACATGCGTGAGCCATAAAATGGTCATATTACCAAAATAGCAGTAAGTGCTACGCCACGGAAATTGGTTTCCCCACGCACCAGAAATTGGTCGCCAGTATGGATATGTATATGATAGGGTAGTCAGGAGGGAAACGATTCCTAGTTTTGTATGCTGAACAGGTGGACTTCTCTGGTGAGCTCGTAGCTCGTAAAAGCTTCGCCGATTCCTGTTGTATATTACCTGAGCCCAATGCATTGGAAACGCATAAAGCCCAAGAGTTGGCCCGAATTTAAGTCATAAAAAGACTGAAAGAAATATTGGGTACCGAGGGTTGTGCCAAAGAGTTAGTGGGCTCAAGCAGAGTACTATTAAGACGAATCCTTTTTAAAGGCTAGTTGCAACTAAGCCTGTCAATAATCAGGTAAGTAAGCTTTAGTATAGTCCTCCGTATTCCTAAAAGCTCATTGAGCATCTGCCTTTTTGTGAACATGAGTCCTGAGCGCGGTGACTTGGATTGAAAAACCATTCAAAGTGGCTGGAAGTGACTGCCGCATTGGTACATTCACATTCCATAAGGACAGCCATCTTTATAAGTTAAAACCTTTCCGGTTTCCTGGCACTTACTTTTCCTTTCACCTGAGATGTCAACAGCTACCCACCTGCCTGGCCACCCCGGAGCACTCACTGCTCACTAACCCAAAGGAAACACAATGTTAGTCAATTATTGCGTTGACAGTAAGCACATAAAAATACAAATAGATGACACCCAACGACAAGGAAGCGTAGAAAAGGTAGCAAAAAAATAAAGGAAGGACTTGTAATGGGTTTGAGGTATTTGAAGCCAGTGGAACTAGGACACACTGCCAGACTGGCAGACTGGCAGCGATTTGACGGTACCTTTTCTCTAATCTATATTTCGTTGTTCACTTGCTGCTCGCTGCTCTGCGCCTATGGCAGGACATGAAACGGAGGACAAAGGACGCACGCCTTTATCGGAGATTAAGTGCGATGACATCGTTATACTCATGGACGCAGCCATGGTCCCAGTCTTCGTTAGTTATATTGTGTTGAAATGTGCTTACAGGACATTAATTTCTTGCACCTGACATTAAGATAATTGTTGCCTTTTGTTTAGTGATGGCTGGGCGAGATAATCAAGTCGTAATTTGGCAATGTGTTGCTGCGCCTCTTGATAACTTCGCACAATGTGTCCTGCACGACTTTCTGGTTAGCCGGACAGTTGGGCAGTTGAAAAGGACGAATCAATCAGATCTATGCTGGCTACAAGGACTTAAAGCTAGAGGTAAGCCAAGTTTCGTGTTGTTTTAACAAATAGTTCAACTGTTTGACTGACTAATATCTTTTCTCTCCTCATTCAAAGTATTTTTCTTGAGATCCCAGAGTTTTCTGTCCTGGGTTATTCTCTCTTACGAGTGCGGTACAACAATGTAATATCCGCGCGAAGAAGAACTCCACACAAAAATTAATAATAAAAATCAACAGAACGCTTATTACTTTCGCAATGTAATACGACAGAAATCATCTTTTAATGGGATGGAATTTGAGAGGAGGTTGTCAATCGCTTTGAACTTTGAGGGGTCGCAAGCTCACACACTCACACACTGCCACACCCACACCCACACGACCTGAAGTGAAAGCAATTTGATGTAATTTAATAAGAAAATAATAGGAAGCAATGACTTAAAAAGGCTGAAACAAAAGCACGAGGAAGAGTGTGAGTGTTGCGTGTGTGCAGTCATAAAATGAAATCATAAATTATGTGGCTCGCTTTTGAGCCGCCAATTCAGTTGGACGAGTGCGATTTAATTTTGTGGCTGTTTGTTGATATTTCATATATATATAGTACATATATATCTATATATTTAGGTATTTTTTACGTTGGTAAGTCAACGCGGGAGCGACAAATGGCTAAAAGCCGCCTACGCGCTTTCTCTGAGTTTGCTTAGTAATTGCTTATGAAATATGCATAGGGCCTCCACTCAGTCGTCATCTTTTTTTCAGTTGGCAGAAGTCACGCACCCTTTTCAGCCGGAAATCTTGGGACCCCTTGAATGCGGTTCAGTTCTTCCTTCTTTTTTATACATCCATAGATACATATTGGGGAGTTGGACCGGCCTAGCATGACATAGCCACTTAGCGGCTACATTAATGGCAGTGCCAAATGACTCTATCTTCCACCGAGAGTG